TCCATGCCTGGTCCCACCCTCCTCCCTAGCTGGCAGTTTCCTTGTGGGGTTGTGGTCCTGTGGTTTGAGAAGGGAGTAGAACTGGGAGCTGGCACCAGAGTGACCCCTGTCAGGCTCAGGATCCAAGCTCACCATGGTGGCTGGATAGGTAGAACAAAATGGACAAAATTGAAAGGGAATTCACTGTTTAAAAAATAGTTCTTTGTGAGCACAGGGCAGGGACAGCCAGCTTAGTGCCATCTCATGGAAAGAGGCCTGGGGGCTGATTGGCTGGGAGCTGGAGCCTTGCATTTGGCTAAAGCCCTGATTCAGGCCAGCATCCTGCCTGGGGGAGTCCTTGGCCACAACCAAGGCTGCTGGGCTCAGCCTGGACATCCAGACAGAGAGGAACCTTCAAACCAGTCATGAATAAGAGGAGCAGCTGAAGGAACTGAGGGTAGGACGTAGTGGGAGGGATTCTAGTCCTTCCCGCACGGCTGATCTCCAGAATGGACTGAGGACAGAATTAGGGACTCCAGACAAAAGATCCAGGGAGGGAGGTTTTCGTTCAGCATAAGAACAGTTCTCCAGCAGCTTGAGAATCTGAGGTTGGATGTGGCAGACGAGTATAGCAGTGAGCTGCCTGTGTGCGAGGTGTTCAGGGAAAAGTGGATAAGTGTTCAAGCTGATGATGTAGACTGAATTCTTTAATTACCTTGGTGGTAAGATGACCTCTACCACTGTTTCCTTAAGTGCTGATAATTGAGGGGAAAGCCTTTACATCAGCCAGCTGGGAGCCACGGGCTAAGGTGGCCCATACATGTCCTGTACCTCCATGGTGGCACGGGAGGGGTGGGAAGCTGGTAGTGGGGTGGGGGCATGTTAGGGACCTAACTGCATTGGAGGGAAGGTGAGGGGAAAGTGGGAAGCATTCCCAGAGTGTGGCCTTGTGGAACCGTGCTCCCAGCCTGGCATTCTGTGGGCCAGGGTAGGTTTGCCTCAGCAGCAAACATCCCCAGGAACCAGCAGTATTAATCAGCGAAAGTGTGCTTCTCTTCCCGCTACACGTCCAGTGTGGTTGAATGAGGGGACCACATTGTCATCGTCGTCTAGGGGCCAGGCTGGTGGACACCAGAGTTTCCTCAGGCCCTGAGAGGGAATGGGGAATCAAGGGCTGGCTGCTGAAGGTGCCAGCTCAGAGGTGATACATGACCTTACTCATCTTCAGGGGCACATGCACAGTCCCCTTCCTCCCTGGAAGTCAGTGATGAACATTAGGTACAAGTGCCCTAGAACTTTCAGGGAGGAGGGAGACTGCTGCTGTCAGTGGCAGGGGGACTCACTGGGTTGGGGAATGAAGGGCCTCTGACAGTGTGGGGTCCCACACTAGTGCCTGCCACCCCTGGGGCCAAGCCCTCTTGACAACAGGGGTGGTGGCTTCTGTGGACACGTGCAACCCCCGTGGCCTGCATGGCCATCCTGGATCTAAGGGCTTGTTGTCTTGAGGGGCAGTGACACATGCAGAGACAGCACCATCTCTGACCCACGTGCTCTGCTCTTTACTTGGACAGTTGGCAGCATGTTTCAGAGAGCACCTCATGCTCAAGTAGAAATCAGTAAAAGGAAGGTAATGTGAAGCGATTCAACCCTGCAGTTAGCCGCAGGTAACCAAGTTCCTCTACCTGGGAGCTGACTGCACTTGTCGCAGTTGCTCTGTGTGCTTGGGAAAGTGTCTTTCCCTCTCTGTGCTTCCCCCAAAAGAGGTGGTTCTCAGAGCTGGGGTGCCCCCAAAGAGGGCGTGTCCCTCCTCCCAGGGATCGGGGATGATTCAGTGGGTTTTGGAAGAGAACATCAGAAAATCTGCAGTGATTGTATCTGAAAATTAAGAAACGTACTTTCCTGATACCAAAGCATGAACTGGCGGTAGAGATCCAGCTCTGGCCAGATGCCTGTGTCTCTTGCCCAAGGGAGGCAGAAGGTCACTTCCCAGGCAGAGCGAGGCCAGGGTCACCCTCGCATGGCTGTTTCCTTGTAGTGGACGTGTTGTTGATTCAGGTGCTGGGTTGGGGGCTGCTGGTCTTGTTAGATGGAACTCTGTGTCGAGGTGACTGTGGGAGTCGCTTGAGGCACGTGTTAGCACAGCAGGCAGTGGCCAGGTTATCCTGTTTGTTCTTTCACATTGTTCTCTTTCCCAAACAACAAGGGCCCCAGGTTGTGGCCTCCTCTGAGATGCCACACACCTGTCAATAGATGCACTTGGTCAATAACTTCTAAAACATGAGCACGAGCGAGAGAGGAAATGTGTTTTGAAAGAAACTGTTCCGTAAAGAGACTGTCTTGAAAATAGGAATTGGATGTGTCTCTCCCACGTGACTTTGTTTGTGAGGAATAATGTGTGTTGCCTTCAATGGCTCTTTCTTAAAAATATTTAGTTTCTTGTAAATCTTATAAACTGAGAATTTCAGGCTTTTCAGGCTTTTCACTTTGTTTTTACTTGTTTATTTTCTTTTTTAAAAAAATTTATATGTGACTTCTGCTTAGTTCATAAAAATAACTGGCGGGCCGGCCCGGTGGCGCACTGGATGGTGCGCCGCTTGGGAAGCGCGGCTGCGCTCCCGCCCGGCTTTTCACTTTGTTTTTACTTGTTTATTTTCTTTTTTTAAAAATTTTATATGTGACTTCTGCTTAGTTCATAAAAATAACTGGCAACAGACATTTATCAGTCGAATTTCAACAAGAACCATTGCATCTGCGAATAGATTAAAACAAATATGATGATTTAGGAAGGACAGCTACTCCAATAGCCCTTAAATTCAAATGTTGAAATAAGCAGAATTTAGAACCAAATCTCTTCATCACAATGTGATAAACCAAGATTTTGTTTTCAATCAAAGCTTATTCAATTACATTGTTTTCACTAAAATATTATTAACATTAACAGTGGTATCTTGGAGGGCGCAAAATTTTTTGTGCCACTGATAAATAAAACAAAACTATTATTGAAAAAAGCATTATTTCCTTCCTCTTTATCTCACCCTTTAAAAGCTTTTCTTTTGTGTCTATTAGAGCATAACCTGTTAACATGGAATTAATAATATGTGTCATATGGAGAGGTGCATGTTCAGATTGTCACTATTAATAGGAATGTGAGATGAAAAGAGCCTTGGAGACAAAAGAGACCCTGACTTTTGAGCAGGACCCAGAATGAGGCCTGTGCGGTATATGGAGGCTTCTGCCCATCCCTGTGCCCGGACATCGACTGCACGGAGCAGACTCACGCTATTGCCCGACATTGGCTGTGGTCCTGTCCTGCTGTCTGCAGAGCCTGGCTCCAGCCCATCTATGTGGCCAGCACCTGGCTGTGGTCTGACTGGCAGGTTATGGCCCCTGGGTTCCTTTCTTTTGTCCCTGTCTGCTGCCAGTCTACCTCTCTAAGCAGCAGGGTAAACACATCCTGTCATCATCTCTGTGGGTCACGCTGACTCACCACATTGTCTTCCCAGAGGACAGCTGCTGGGGAGGCCCAGGGCTCCGGCCTACCCTGCTCAGCCTGGCCTCCCACCCCATGGTCAGGGGGCCCTCAGGCCTCCCGCTTGTGTCTCAAGGTTTCCTTGCAAATCTCCGCTTCTTGATTTTAACTGGTAGAATCATTACATGGAATCTAGTGGCATGTAATTGGTCAACTCAGCCCTAACAATTATAATACCACCAAAACCAGGCCACACTGTTTAGGCTTACCAGGCAGCATGCCCTCTTCCTAAGCCCTTGTTAAGTCCAACCCTGGAATGGCGCCTCTGAAAATGGGTATTCTATGTCCGTTTTATGATAAGGAAACCATAGCACAGAGACATGCACCTGCTGGTCATGTCACCACATGGCTGAGCAGGATGTGAATCAGCTGTGCTGGTCTCTGAGCCTTGGTTTTTGGTGGCCAGGACACAACAAGGACATTATTATGTGATTTCTACATTCGAGGGTTTGGTGCCCCCATAAATGCTGACACACTTTGAATGTTCCCCAAGCCAAGCTCCTTTCAGGGCTGGGTTTTGTGCAGAGGACAAATAGTGACGCCAGTGGCCTCCATGGGCCCTCAGCACCTTGCCCACGGTGCCTCTTGAACGCTTGCAGTGGCCCTGTGGTGTGGCCCTCACTGTGGGTGTAGTCAGTCTCTGCAGGGCCCTACAACCATGGTAAATGAGCTGGCACTCTCTGCTCCTGCCATGCAGATGGGACCGTAACCTCGCAGATGTTTGTGGACCAGTGTGGACCAGTCACTCTGGTGGGGAGGAGGGACAGGAGCAGGTGTAGACCTTCGGTCGACCTG